GAATAGTGGTGATGTAGCGATTAGTGCCGATATCCGGCTTTGCCTCAAATCACTGGAGAGCTATATCTAAACCTATCCTGGACCTCCTTTATCGATTCGTACTGACCAGCATTTTGAAGTATAGTCAATAAACCCCAGTGACCAACACGGTATGATGATGGTTTCATCCAGCAGTGGCTAATGATGATGGTATTATAGTACATGTACATGAATGCGGGTGTACATGTATGCGTCGCGTGATTTCCATTACACACAGGCCGGTGACCCGGGTTCAATTGCCTCCTTTTACAAAAATGTCTCACCCGACGTCTAAGTGGCCAGCGAGCGAGCTAGCCGGAGACCGCCACCCGCTGGCGAGGAGTCGGCGCCCACTTAATCATCCCCGGGGGACAGATGCCCTTCATATTTCCCTGTAGCCCTTATGCTTGGTGAGGGTTACAGCCAGGGGTCAACCCTGCTCACGCAAAGAGCTTGCTCGCAACTGGCGTGGGTGGGGAGGGCCTTCACTTTACCCCACCACCACCACCACCACGAGCGACACGTCCGTACATTCTACTGTTGAATTGCTGGTGCCACTGGTGGGCTGATGGAGGCCTCGGCAGATGACGTTTCCCCACCCAATGTGTCACTTAAAACCCGCTTTGCTCGGAAAGCAATAACTGTTTACGGCCCGTGCGGGCGCATTTTGCATCGTGCATTTTGCATCATGCTTGAATCGACTGGCCTGTAAACACAGATGTTAGTTAATGATTGTCCGAATGTGTTTCCATTCGGTGTCCATTATATAACCATGTGAGAACTCTTTGAGGCTTATATTTTCTCAGGGATACCTGAATATTTAGTAACTTATAAAATAGTTAAACTGGTTTATATTCAAAAATGCCATGTGGGCGTATGACACCAGCATAAAAATTGCCTGCTCTTGTCAATCATGTCATAGGGTCTTTCACACCAGCTTCACATCGGATGTTTCCATCATTTCTAGTTTGAGCAGAGCACACAACATTAGTATCGGTCTTACTCAGGCATCAGCAAAACCCCACTGCATGTTAATCTGTCTGCAACACCGCCTAAAGTGTCATGGCCGTGATACAGGCCATGGGTTCTCAGTATATTATGTGTGTTGTGCTGATAGAATGGCTTGTCAGTTTGACACCTAGGCTTTTGCGGCCATTGTCCATAATAAAAGTTTTTTGTGTTAGATCGCATATCGCATAAATATAAATGTGTCGTTAAACCCGCCACCACCTAACACAGCCAATAAGTAAGGTTTGTCACGTAAACAAAACAAACCCCCCCAAAAAACTCTTATGGTCTAATAGTTTATCCAACATTACCTAGGTATGCCTTCCCCATTGGTATTGGCTTGCGCCAGTGGAACATTTGCATAGGCGAAGACAGTTTTAGCACGACGTTTTGCTGGTGATTACAACCAGCTTCATCAGGCGATTTGCAAAATAATCCATTTGACAAAGATGGTTGTAATCGCCGGGGAAACGTCGCATTCAAATCGTAAATGCTGTGGGCTTCCTCTCCAACACACCGGTGTGCTTGAAGTAATAACTAAATTGACACGTTTTGTTTACTTGACAAACCTTACTAATTGGCTGTGTCGGCTGGTGGTGGATTCACGACACATTTATATTTACGCGATCTAACCTAAAGAAAGACCCCCTTTATTATGGATAATATTGGTCGTGAAAGCCGACGTGTTAAACGGCAGGAGACAGCACTGCAGCACAGTTGTTGATGAGCAAGTGCAGGTGACGCATCCAGCAGCAATCTCACCGCGTAAATTCCCCACCGCCCGTGACGCGCGTGCGACTACACAGATATCGCATGCCCGGCCGCCCTAACGAAAATACGTCAAAGAAAATAAAGAATAAATAAAAGTGATTCTAAATAAGGTTTTACGAAGAAAAAAAATGCACATCACTAGCGTAACTCTCTTGGCGGTGGCCTCCTTTTATGGTCACAGGTACTAATAAGGCTGAATAATTCAAAAACATTTGGCAAGCGTTACAGATGTGACCTCTCTTGGCTTGCAGAAGCCTTGGGAACACTGGGCGGCATGCGGCCTCCACGCTAGATGCAGATTCTACATTTGCTGTGGTTCTTGGGACACTTTTCTTTTTGCATCCCACGAACAAATTATGCCAGCTAGCAACCCCCCCTCTCCCCGCCTCTTTCCATATATATCCATATGTGTCGGATTATTGCAGAGATATTTTTTAACTGTTGCTGACTTGGACCAAACACAATGCCTACTCCAATTATATTAGCTGACCGCTTTCTCCCAACTTTTGTGAGGCTCTAAACGTACAGCGTTTCAAGCACATGGCTCTCGTTGGACGCTGCGCTGTCTCTTGCTGGTACAGCGACCTCGCCGCTGTAAAAGCACCTAACTAATGGCGTGTTTAGTTTACAGAGTCAGCCGTGCGATGACTTTGGTAAACAAGCCATTTCTCCGCATGTTATTGCCGAAACAAGACAAAATGTCCTTCCAATAGCTTGCAATGAGCTCGTACGGCCTGGAATTGCAGGCAGTGTCCTGTTACTGTAACTGAGTGTCCTTGTCCTGGCGCATGCTGTGTAGGCTTCTTTGTGCGGTCTTATTTTAAATAGCGGTGGTGCCGCCCTGTTACCGGTCTAACTGTGTGTGTGGCGGCCCATCTCCTGGGTCCTGCCTTTGTGCACGTTAACGCGGGTGTATGAATGGTTTGTTTGTTTGAATAGTTAGGTGTGTGTGATGAGTGAATGCAGTGGCAGGAAGGTCAGCAGGTAGGCGGATGTGTTGACGAGAGCAGTGCTTCTTGCATGCTCTCCGTGGCTAAATGTGTACGTGTATAAATTGGTCGATGAAAGAGCATGAGGTGTGTGCGTGAGTAGAGGTACAGTATTGGTGGCATTCACTTGGTGGAGGGATATTTAAGCCTAGCAGATCGCTTCGTCTTGGCGGAGTTAATGGAAGGAGGCATAAACAGAGCTCTGCCTGGCTTGAATATCCATCCACGAACCTGTGTATTCATAGTGTAACAATGCATCGGTCCACGTCAATTGAAATTGATTCTTACCATCACAATGCATGCATGCACGAATGCATTCAATCTTGCATTTAGCAATGTATTATTTTCGATTGTTATACGTTCTATGCAACTAGCTTTTTTTCACCGTCCAAGGATGGGTGTATATTTCAGTAAATCTGAAACATTCAAAAGAAAAATAGTTCAGATCATGAATATTCATGAGGGGGGGGGGGGTTGCCCCATGTGGAGTGACGACACCCGCTAATGGTTATTGTGGAGGGGTGCGGCATGTGGAGTGACGTCACCCGCTCATGATTATTAATGAGGGGAGGGGTGTGGCATGTGGAGTACGCGACCTAGTGCGTTCGTGTAAATTTCCACGCGGGCATGAATAATAATGAAGGGTGGGGGGCTCTTTTGCAGTGACGTCAGGCACGTATGTAGCACTGCTGCGTAGATTTATTTTTTACCGTCACTTTCTGTAAAGAAACATCATATTTGAAGCGGCTTTGCGTAATAAATCATTTAATTCAGCTCGACCTTCCTCTGCGTTCGTGTAAAAATCCACCCACTCATGAATATTAATGAGGGGGGTGAGCCTCATGTGGAGTGACGTCACGCGCAGGACGGACAGACATTTCTGGGGGATTATAGTAGGTAATTAAAGTGGACCCTACAGCCACTAGAGGCGCTGCAGTGCACAACAATGCCATGCGCTGCCTTCAGCTGGCAGTGCATTAAGCATAGCTATTGATGATAATGATGATGAATGGAGGTGATCACTGCACAGACGATAGAGAACAGACGAGCATCAGGTATTCCTGGCAAAATATATGCCTCAATGATTCTCACATGGTTACATAATGGACACCGAATAGAAACACACCCGGACAATCATGAACTCACATATGTGTTTACAAGCCAGTCGATTCAAAGCACGATGCAAAATGTACCCGCATGGGCCGCAAACAGTTATACCTTTCCGACCAAAGCGGGTTTAAGTGACACATTTGGTGGGGAAACTTCATCTGCCTAGGCCTTCATCAGCCCACCAGTGGCACCGGCAAGTCCTTAGTCGAGTAGCGCTAATACTGAACACAACATTAATTGATTCTCCAATTGAATCCTGACCCCCCCCCCCAATCGTGGAAGGTGGAGTGGTGAATTGGTGAAAAACCAAAGTGATTTTCTGCCGACGTTGAGGTGGTGTTCATCTCCTGTTTACAGCCCTGAGCCAGTGGCAGATAGTCAACGTTCCTCTGGTGGGGGCTAGTGTATCAATCGGGCAACCACTTGACTTGCTCACAAAGTTATTGGTACTTCTTGGACTTCGTAGCATTGTTCCAGCCCAAGTGCAAAGAACCACAGATAAGCAGGCAGCAGCCACGCGGTGAACCGACACGAACAATTTGTAAAGCTCTGCAATCCTCTCTATATTACCATGGCCATTTTAATGAGTGTTTACACGCGGGAGGAAACCGGACCACCCAGAGAAAACTCGCACGTGCGAGGGGGCAGTCCTCTATCCCATACAGATAGATAAGATAAAGCCCACATGTTCTGTGTACCGTATTCTCCTGACAAGCCAGGGTATGGCACCCGGATGCTAACGGGAAGGGAGTTTTACAACATTTGTGCGCTCCACTAACGCTCGCTGCCTCCACAATGCTGGCTCGATCACAGGCCACGTGCATAGCCACCACCGCCCGGCACGCACAGTATACGCTTGTTAGCCAACTAGACGATGCCTTCACAATAGAGGTTTTGTGGGTTGGATCGCGTAAATATATGAATGTCGTTAAAACCCGCCACCACCCGACACGGCCAGCTAGTAAGGGTTGTCACGTGAACAGAACGTGGCCAATTCGTCACTAGTACAGCACACCGGTGCGTTGGAGAAGCCAAGCCACAACATTTACAATCTGAGTACGTTAGTCACCTAGATGGTGGATGTGTGCGCGCATGCGCGTGCAGGGATGAAGACTTTCCTCATCTCCGGCTACCGGGATGAGGACGCACGTCCCAGCTGGCGCGAGGGCTCCCAGCCGGTGCTGTCCTCTAGCCAGGGCTGTCTGCTCTACCCGTGGAGCCCACCCTGGGGAGACGAGCCGCTTGCCCTGCATGCACACCAGGTGACGACGGCATGCGTGTGTGTGTGTGTGTGTATGTGCCAGGGTGTTTGGTGAGTGGTCGTGTAGCGATTAGCACGCTGTGCTTCGAACCTAGCGACCCGAGTTTGATTCCTGCTCACGGCTAACACCAGTAACAATTATCTGAACCGGTCCTGGGCCTCAAATGAGTATCTGGTGTGGTTTTGTAAACATCACCAGTAGGGAGACAAAGGCGTTTGGGCGTGGTCTTGGCCACTCACCCCCTCGTGTGCCGTGCCGGCCTTCGGAGGTGCTCGCTAACAGCACCTGCCCAACAGTCTGTTAAGGCTATACGGGGGATCTTTGTCTTTGGTGAGTGGTAGTGTAGCGGTTAGCGTGCTGTACTACGAATCCGGCGACCTGGGTTCAATTCCCACTCACGGCCACTACCAGTGACGATTATCTGAACTGATCCTGGGCCTCCCCTAGGTCAACTCCGCCTCAAATGAGTACCTGGTGCGGTGTGTAAACATTGCCGCTCGGGAGACAAAGACGGCCGGGCGTGGTGCTGGCCACCCACCCCTTCCTGTGGCGTTCTGACCTTCAGAGGTGCGTCTCGCTAACAGCATTTGCCCCAACAGTTTGTTATGGCTACACGGGGATCTTTGTCTTTGTGTTTGCAAGAGTACACTGCGCCCCAGTGGCGAGATGTTATCTGCCTCGCCTGGTATGCAGGAGGTCGTGGGTTCGATCTCGACCCTGACGCCCGAGCTATCATTTGTGGCCAGGTTGCCTCTGAAAAAGAGCTATATAGCTCAGTGGGCCTTACCTGGTCAAATAAAAATGGTTTAGTTTGAAGTTTACTTCACACAACAAAAACATACGGATACCCTCCGGAGATAAAATATTAAAGATCCCCCATAGAGCCTTTAACAAACTGTTGGAGCAAGTGCTGTGAGCGAATACCTATTGATGCCAGTTACTGTAGACGAGAGGGTGGGTGGCCAGCACCATTCCTGGCCGCCTTTGTCTCCTCAGGACTGATGTTTACAGACTGCACCAGATACTTATTTAAGACTGAGTTTTGTCATGAGCGGGATTTGAACTTAGGTCGCTGGGTTCGTAGTGCAAATGCGCAAACCGCTGCGTCACTGCTCTTTACGAAAACACGAATACCATAAAGACACATAAACATGCACCACACATAGCAGGTGATGATGGCACGATTAGACTTGTACCACACGCTATACATATACACAACAGCCGCAATTTGCCACTGAGTGGCGGTGACATCACCACGGCACTTGTGCCAGGCTAGGTGCCCTAGACACAGATACCATGCACACATACACACCAAGTAACAACGGCACGCAGGTAGCATTGCACACAGCGTACGGCACGCACAAATGCACACAACACGCATACCACACAGCATGTTCACACCAAATGCACACCACACTCAAACCACACACGTGTACACAGAAACGCAGCACACATAATACCCACACCAGGTCACTCTTGAATGCGCCCGATCTCGGTAGATTTGGGAAGCTCGGCAGGTTTGAGCCTAGCTTAGGAGGCCACGTGGAAATAGCAGGTGTTGTAGCCTTGTGGGTGGGAAGGTGGCCGGAGCATCACAGTACAATGGATTATTTCGTCCATCCATATATTCAGAGATGTGGATGTTAACCGCTCGTATGTGTGAGTTTTCTCCAGGTACTCTGGATTCCTCCCACATGAAGCCAAAACACTCTTTAGTGGAATTGGCAAAAACATCCCCATGCAGGGTCCTACTGCAAATGAGTCTTGAAACTTTTGGTGAGCTCTTACTGGATAAATACAATTATTATTAAAAATATTGCAACCAAAAATCCAATTGCATTTTGTAGAAACATACCCCAGGTTGCGTGAATGAGAAATAAAGACTTAATAATCACAGGCTTCGTGTATTCCATCACAACACGGTAGTGATGCCACTGCAATGACATTAAAATGTATTGTAGCCAAAACACAGCGATGTTTAGTTAGTTTATTAGCAAATGCCATCCATGTGACACAAGGTGAACACCCAAAGCAAATAAATATTAAACCAGTGATGTCATGAGAGTCTTGTAATGGCTTACCTGACTGATTTTTTTTTATTAAACTGTGAACTGTGATCTCAGGTTCCACTGTATAAGACAGCCAAGGCACGTACATAATTAGAGCAAATACATTTTTGGGTTTCACGTGGAAGAAATCAAATAGCAGCCCTGTTCACAGTACCAAATAATTGGCAAATGGGATAAATGTGCGTGTGCATGATTGTGAGATTAAAAGTTACAATCCTGGTCAGATCAACTTAGCCTTGTCATCCCTTTGGTAGAATATGAACTGTACTTGGAAGAGAGCTAATGAAAGACTGGTCACTGTCATAAGAATGGAGAATTTCCACCACCTTTCAATGTTTAACAAGACGCATTTTTGAAGAAGCCCGGGTGTCGTCCGTTCTCCCTCTAGGGCGGCTCCCTGCCCTCGAGCCACCTACTGGAAGACGGCCAGACTCTGGCGGCCGGGGCCCCCGCGGGCCCCGCAACACCAGCAGCGGCCGCCGGAGCCGACCAGAACCCCCAGACCGAGGCAGCGCCGGCCACGCGACCCCCCCGGCCGCACTCGGACGGCGCAAACGCACACGGCAGCAAGGTGAGTGCTGACCCCCCCCCCTTTCCCCAGCTGATAGCTGAGTGCTCATTGGTAGGTTAACTTAGAGCAATTTAACACGCAGTAGGCTTTCACGACCAATACTTTCCAAAATGCTGGGTTTTTTTGGGGTTCGATTGCGTAAATATAAATGTGTCGTTAATCCCGCCGCCACCCGACACAGCCAATTGCTAAGGTTTGTCACGTAAACAAAACGTGGCCAGTTCGTTACTGCTTGAGCACTCCGGTGTGTTGGAGAGTAAAACCACAACATTTACAATTTGAGTATGACGTTTTTGCCAATAATTACAACGAGCATCATCAGAGCAGAGGTGGGGGAGAAACCACGGCTCCTTGGGCTGGACACGGCCCGCGACTTCATTTCATGCGGCCCATGGCCACAAACGCGTTCGACCACTTTGAAACGGACCGCAAACGTCACCGCAACCTTTTGTGGCAGCGCTATTTGACATCACTTATTGGATACTGGAGGGGATGTATTTTTTGACCTGGAAACGCTGCGTTTCGAAGTTTAGTCCACCGGCTCACTTCAGGTACTGTACTTAAGTTTCTCCACACACACCACACATTGGCCAATCATCCCAGTGGTAAAAGAAAAAGTAGTGTCGAAACTCTTAGGAACGTGGTTTGATCTCTAAATTCGCGATAGAGGGATTCCAAATCATGGCGCAATGCTACAAGCTTCCCAACCACTTTTCTTATTTCCATTTATCTATCAATTAAAGCAGTCTTATCTCCCCGTGCTAGAGGATAGCCTCGGGAAATTGAAGATGGCGACTTCTGAGATCCTTTTAATTGCCTCTTTTCCACACCAGGTGCACGACACTTTCACAAGTATTCTGCTATAGAAGCATTCACCAGATGGTGATTATAAGTGAAAATGTTGAACTCCTCAGAGCTGGAAATACGGCAAATTAGGTGAAAACTGCATTTAACATTCCGGGTTTTTGTATGGTAACATCGGTGACCGCACTGGGACCTTCACCTTGCAAACCTGAGACCCTTGTTTAATCGCGGGTGGCTTACCGGATCAGCATTTCAGCAGTGCCCGGCTCCGTTCTCTGACCCGCCATTATCCTCTTGAGAGCCACCTGGCTACCTCGGCCACCTCTGATTTTTGATGCTGTCATGTCGACAGGCGTCGTGCACGCCCAGTGTCTTTTCAAGCAGCGGTGGTGACGGCGGTGGCGGCGGCGGCGGTGGTGGCTGCGGTGGTGGTGCTGCGAGCAAGGAGAAAGCGGTGGAGGGGCACAATGGGTGCCAGGACTCCGCGGCCAGCAAGGACCGAGCACTGGGCCCTGAGGTAGCCCCACATCATTTCCTTGTCTCTCTCGTGACAAATGAAGTGCCCGGCACATATGCCTAACGAACGTTTTGGTCTAAATTCCCTCAGTCTTTGATGTGCACATGCACATCCTTTTTGTCCGTGCACTGCTGTAAGAGGAGGTCCTTTCCACGCAATGCGAATCCCGGGGGTTATCTGACCGTACTTCACCACGCTGGGCAGTGCAGGTTGGTGAAAGTGGGTGAAGCAGTCGTAGGGAGTATAAAGGTAGATTAAAAACGAATTTCTTTAGAACTGCTTCTTGTGTTTAGTTTGTTGTCCTTCCCCCCCCCCCCCACACCTGCGATTACATATGCATCATAATGGATTTTGCTGCACTGCACTGCTATCTATCCCTGTAGCTCTTATGGAAACTTGTTCGTGCATTGTGGTCACTCGTCCAAACACGATCCCAACTCAATCCCTCAATCTTGCTTGGCTTCCAAGATATGCCGAGAATTTGGGAGCATTCCTGGTGTTTTGGTAAGAGGCTGATATTGCATGTCTAATTTTTCAAAGTGAAATAAAACACTGGCACATCTGAATGCAATTTTAACATTCCAGTGAACAAATATTTTGATGGGTGATGATGAATTATTATGGATGAAGATTATGGTTGATGAGTGATGGATGGATTTATGTCTACACAATCATGTCCATATACTATATACACTGTTTTGCACACACATATACAATTTCTACAATTTTCCACATATATGTGTACATTGTTGTCATGATTTTAGCAAAAAAAAAACAAAGGTAATGTTTGAGGCAGTCACACGTCAAGCACCTTATAAGAAGGCCCATTAGCTGAAGCATATTCAAACATTTTAAATGGGCAATGTGCAGCGGACAGCTTTGTGCTGCATTCACATTCATGCATTGAGATTATTTAGATTATTTTAGTGCTATAAATATCAAATTATGGGCTACTTTGTTTAGCTATCATTGTGGACAGGTTGCTTCTTAAAAATAAGTAATTACTTTACTTGTTTGGGTGATTTGTTTACCTTGTACTTTGCACTGCTATTGTCTTTTTCTTTTGTTTGTTGTTGTAACGTTATTACCCGGCCCTACTGGACATCTGTGAAAAAGAGCTTTGTAGCTCATCGGATTCCTCCAGTATAATTAAATATTCTGATTCTGATCCTGATTTAATTATCAGCATATTCAATAGGATTCAATTTGGTTGTCGTCTTTCCTGCACTTCCCATTGCTGTCTGTTCGTTCTTACATGTTTGCATTTCCCCTCCTTTGCTTCTCCTTAAACCCCTGTGCTTGCTTGTTTGTGGCTCCGCACCTCTTCCCCTGCGCACTCTGCTTCGCACCATTGGTCTTCGTTTATTCCCGGGTCATTCCCTTTGGACTTGGCCATCTTACACTGTCCCTCTTGAATTCCATGTCTCCCGCTCGCCTCCACTCCCTCACCGGGCTGCCTTTTTTGGGCCCTGATTCCTTGTAAGGTCACCGATTATCGTGAAAGCTAATGGGACCATGCGGAGCGCATCGAGCATCAAGAAACACCACGGCACTTGTGGCTCAGAGTAAGGGTGCTGCTGCTGTCTCTCTGTACAAATGCAGTATCTCACTGCCCCGTGTTTAAATAAAGAAGCAACGTTAAAGAAACAGGTATTACAAACATGTCAACCCATCACGGTTTACCCTTATTTTTGTACAGAGACATTGAGTTTTCAGGTCCATACGGCGTACAGCCATTTAAATACGGGGAAAAAAAAATATGTCTACTTGTTCGTGTTTCTCCCTTGTGATGGGGCTTTGTAGGAGGAACGTTGAGATTTATAAGGGCACGGGGTGACTAGTTAGGTCTGCATTGGTCTGTAATAAGGTAGGGCACTGATCAGGCGTTGCCAGGTGTGTGGTATTTTATCTTCACGTAAAACGTGGACTCCCGGGCTCAAATTGCCTGATGAAGCTCACAGCAAAACGTCATCGAATGTTGATGTTAAAATTCAGTCAATAAAAATCTGAAGCCACAGGTTAGGTGATTTATTGATCAGAATTTGATCGGTACATTTGGCCTCGTATCAACAAAAGTTCTGGAAACGTGAATATCTTTTCAGGTGGTTAGAGAGTTAATGGCAAGAATGTTGGTATAAAACTACCACCACGTGGCCCGACCCAAGAACATATATGGATCAGATGTTATCTTGGAGATGTGTATCCAGTAGGGTTTCTGCGATAGCATTTTATTAAATAAGATGTTAAATACTCTTTGGTTCTTTCGGTAAAGTCACGTATATTCTGTGGTTTTCACACTTGATGATGATTGCTTGTGTTGCAATCGAAACGTTGTGAGAATTTGATAGTTTTATTTGTATTATTTTATTATTTCCCTTCTACGTGACTTTACCGAAAGAACCACGAATATGAATCCCTGCAGTCACGAAAGCTTCAAATCAAGATTGAAGATATTAAATGTCATGATATAACGATCATTGTGATATCTGTTCCCTCGAACTTAAACATTTTATTTCTCAATATCATTGTCTTGTTTTTGTGTCTTAATGTACAATGTTCTGTCTAGTCTCTAACTAAATACATTTATGCAAATGATAATTTAGTTTGTACAGTACATATGTATTTGTCTGAATATACATGTACAGCCATCTTTTTGTCACTCCACTGCTAGATCAGGACCTTCCGATGCTGTGCAAGGTCATGGCTGTTATTTGCCAGTACTTTCACCACGCTTTCCATCGCGGCTTGCTAAATTCGGAGAGCTTTTATGTGGGAGCATAGAACTACAGTCCAACAAAGGAATCTGCCCTACTCTGACCGTATGTATGTTGAACTTCTTTCGCACCGTACGTAGCCAATCGTGCTATGTAGGCCCACATAGGCCCGCAGTTCTCTGACTACCTGTGTTGTGCAGGGTGGATGCCTGTTAAAGCACTCATCCAGGCTTAACCCTGCATTACTGTCAAGATCTTTCACGACCGGGTACATTCTGGGTGATTTGGTCATGGACGCCACGGTGGCGAGATGTTATCTCCCTTGCCTCGTACCCAGGAGGGCCTTGGGTTTGATCCCGACCCTGATGCCTCCATATTTGGAGTTTGTTTTGATGTTCTCCCTATGGTTGTGGATTTTTCTCCAGGTCCTTTGGGTTTTCCCTCCACATTTTATCATCTACGTGCATTTAGAGTATTTGCCTGCCGCTATAAATGTCTATTTGATGATCCACTTCGGTGAGCTATCATTTGTGGCCAGGTCTATTCTGAAAATGAGCTTTTGAGCTCAGTGGACCTTTCCTGGTAAAATTTAAAATAAAAATTACACTTTTTTTGTTTAAATACCTGTCTGCAGACATGCTCAAATTTGTCCTAAGACTGAGGACAACATCTGGCTTGTATTCTCAGTTCTAATCGCGTAAGAGAACTGCAGACGAATCACGAAATCGCTCGTGTGTGCACCACAACGGACCAAAATTGTGGTGACCATATCTTGTCTGGATCACCATTGTACACTGCAACACACACAGTGTCCCAAGCGCGCCATCTACTGGGTAACTAATGTATAGTTGTACAAATGCTGTGGCATCCTCACAGGTAACTGCTGAGGGTACTTGTACTGTACAAGAAACAGGCCTCTTTATCAATTCACGAGTGGAGCAGGGCCTCCCCCCGTTGTGTGGATCGTGGCAGTTGCTTAACCATACTTCACCACGCTGGTCAGTGCAGATTGGTGAAGGCAGATAACGTGGATGTGGATACATATAATTACGGTGGAGCATTAAAATCTGCTGAACTGCCCACCACGTAGCCCACAACCCTATTACAACCTGATTGTGCATGATGGCGACCCTTCAAAGCACTCACCAGGTTCACTAACTGCTTAGCTTCAGAATTCTGCGTGAATTTGGTCATAGGCGGTTCGGGAACATGAGGAAGCTGATCCTTTATCAGTGCCATCAGGACATCGAGCCGGAACTGCTGTGGTGTCTGGGTTGTAACACCGGCTCTGGCATAAAATTAAGTGTAGCTGTGACTAAAATCACGCATTTTTTGGAACTTGTCATTATCATCGTTAGCCGTCATAAACCCAATGCTGGGTGAATGAAGGCCTCCCTACGCTCATACCACCTCCCACCATTGTGTGATGCCACAATATATGTCACTCCTGCACACGACCTGATATTATTGCTCACTATTCGCTCTCATGACTGTTAGTTTGCCCGGAAGCCATCCTCCCTTCCTGTGATGCATCACCCGAACTCCGGTCATCCTCGCAGCGGCTTTTGGCTGGCCAGTGAACAAAGACAGTCACTTGCATTGCGCACTTTCGGATGCGCTTCTGCTGCTGTCTGGAACGCTTTTCCTACTGATAATATAGATTAAAAACTAATTTCTTTAAAACTGCTTTCTTGTGTTTAGTTTTTTTGTCCTTCCCATGCACCAACGATTAGCATGGTTGGCTACGTATGGTGCGAAAGAAGTTCAAAACACGTACATACAGACATGCAAGTCCACTTCCTCTTGTTTTCACAAATGCGATGCCCCTGATTTGTTTTTCCTATTTTATCTATGTTCAAATTTCCAGGTTTGTTTTGTTTAGCCAGGGAAGAACTAAAGGGACTAGGAGAGTCTCAAATTATAAAAGCAAAACAAACGAAATAAAGTACTTTTCCGACTCAAATATAAATCAGAGGGGGGGAAAACGTATAAAATATAACTTAGAGCAAAAACTACCATAATTAATTAAACCAGCACTCAAACATAAATTAATATTAACATAAATTTAATTTTGCAAATGTTGGCATGGACAAGTGGCTTTTGAAAACCATTAATATTAAGTGTTTTTTTTTAAGCCTGTGTAATTTATTGCTTTTAAACTAAAATACACCAATATTTAATTGGATAACTAAAAAGGACACTATTTACACGTCGCATCACACACAGCATTTCATAACACACGTGACGAGCATTCATGGTATTGCGGACCTGTGCTGCGCTCTGGGCCACAGTTTGAAATTTCTATCGGTTGTGTTCTCTCCTGAGGCTGCCATTCCATTACTTGTTTTGTCAGCAGTCGTCACCCATCCAGCAGTGCATCCTATACAAGCCCAAAGTGTGTCAGTCCACACACTGCTGACAAGTGGTCCTTGAAAACATCGGTCCACAAGGCCCATAGATTGGTCGTACCGTGGCGAAACTGACCTCGGTCACAACGGAAAAGAATACCTGCTGTAGATCCATGGCATGCTGTGCCTTACCGCGCTGCGCTCTGTGCCCCACAGCCGCCCTGCAAGGGTCCGCCCAAGGTTCACAACGGGCTGCTGGCCGTCAAGGAAGAGGGAAAACTGGCAAACAGCCGCACGTCGCTCGTCGAGACACTGCAGGAGCGCATGTGCAAGGAGCGCGCGCCCCTGCTGCCCATCAACATGCGCTACAAGCACCTGCTGAGGCAGAGCGACATTCACTTCGTGGAGGTCATCAAGAGCGATCGGTATGACACGCGCGGCCACTGCCAACAGCGGCTTCCACCACCACGGCTCGATCACCGCCATGGCCGTCTCGATCACCGCCACCATCACCACCGCCAATATCACTATCTCTGTCACCGCCACTACCACTATCTCTATCACTGCCGCAACTCTCTCTATCACCGCCACTATCAACTATCACCGCCACTATCGACTATCACCGCCATCTATACCACCACTGTTGTTATCGCCACCTCAACCATTATCTTCACCACCACCATCACCAATATTTTCCACATGAGATTCGTCTCTTGCCTGCCTGGCTAGGCTTATGGTTATTTCTTGCAATAGTTACTGACTTTAGCCACTGCAGTCTCCTAGCGACATTGCTAACAAGCCATACATTTTGATATTGCAATAGCCAAAGAATTTGGTCCCATTAGTATTCACGTCACTGATCCTGATGGAGTGAGCACACCTTGCTAATCACTGGCAACCACACATTGACGTGTTGATCACACTCGATAGACCAGCCCAGGCTCTCACCCCCAACTAATCAATCAATAGCTTACTTCAGCAGCACTATAATGCTTATGGCATACTTGGAATATAAACTGGTGAGAAAATCAATGAGAATATAAAAAAGTAATCCAGCGATATAGTAAGCCACAGATTCTGCCAATAAATGGCGCCTCTGTAACAATCATAACCTCAACTTTAAACACGCATGAGACGTCACTTCCCGTCGTCTATATATATTAAGGTGTTATTGGCCAATTCATTAGTGTTTACGCATGGGAGGAAACCGGAGCACCCGGAGAAAAACTATCCGTGCGAGGGAGAACCACTGTTCCACACAGAGCCAGGGTATGGCACCTCCTCAACGCCCATGGGAAAGGAGTTTGGCAACGTCGTTTGTGCGATCCGCCAATCCATCGCCTCCACAGCGCTCGATTACAGAGCGTGCGCCACCACCACCTGGGTGGGGTGGATTAAGGGCAGTGTGTGCTCGACACTGAACACATTTACAGGTACATCTCAACCGTTGCTAAAAAAAAACACCCCCACACTGAAATTCGGAGAGCTTGTATCTGGGAGCATAGAACTACAGTGAATCGTCGATGTTCTCTGACCATTTCACGCAGATTTCGGAAGCCAAGCAAGGTGAACCTGGTTAGTGCTTGGAAGAGTGGCCACCACGCACAAACAAGTTGTCATTGGGCTGTGGGGCTCTGTGGTGGGCAGTTCAGCAACATTCACTCTGCCTTACATCCCAAATGTTGGAAGAATTTCCTGAAAATTACAATATTGGCATCAGACATAGCAACGGTACCCGCTTTTGCGAAAAACATTGCAGGAGTGTACCTGAAAAAGAGTGAGACTCGGTGAGACTTTCCTGAGTAAACAAGAGTAATAGGAAAAAATTGGCCCTAATGCTGAAGAGCTCCTTCGTGAATATAGTAAACTTCTTGAAGCGAAATTGTTTGGGCAGAGTCGAGATGACAATGTTCACTTGAACATTAATCAGATTTTTCCATTCCAGTTGCCACCATAAAAAAATATATGCCGTTAATGACCCTGTGAAATAATTCACAAAGTAGACAAATGTGTGCCGATATCACCGCTTAAATCCAGAAGTTTAACAATCGGCCATCGATAAACATTATTTTATCACTCCTTGCTTGAACAACAGTAGTAATAATAATAATACTCATATCTGCACTACACAATAAGATAATGATTATGAAAGGCCAGTCCTGGTTACATAAAGAACGTCGATTGACTGATTGGATGAGCCTGATCTTGACACAGCCACCGAAAGACACCCGTGCGTGTGTGTGTGTGTGCGCGCGTTCGTCTGTATCCACCTGCTATGCAGGCTTATGGAGGACTACTTCTTCAAGCCACCCATCAACAAGCTGAGCTTGCAGTTCCTGGACAAGAACTTGGAAAAGGCGTACCGGGCGAGCTACCAGGAGGAGGTGAGAACCACGGGCATATTCGCCACCGTAGCGAGATGTTTACTCCCTCGCCCGGTAATGTGGGAGGGCATGGTTTCGATCCCGACCCTGACACGTGTATATTTGGAGTTTGCATGTTCTCCCCCGTGGATTTTTCTCCCGGTCCTCCAGTTTTTCCCGCTAACATTTAGAATCAAACATGGGTTTCGAGTATTTTGCCGCTGTAAATGCCCACATGATGAGCTACTTCGTTGAGCTATCATTTGTGGCCAAGTCGCTTCTCAAAACGAGCTGTGTAACTCAGTGGGACCTTACTTGGTAAAATAAAAAAAATAGTTTTCGTTAGTATTCAGACCCACGATATTTTTGAAGGAGGGAAAATGCACGTGGGGAGCAGCTGTGGAGTGTCGGAGAGCTTTCACGTCAAAGCGGGAGTAAAGCAAGGTTCTGCCCTGAGCCCCCCTTCCTGTTGATCCTGGTGCTGGGCACACCTCTACGAGAGATAGCGCAATGCAGACGACATTGTGCTATGCGGTGAAAGCAGAGGGGTAGTGGAAGATGATTTGAAGACCTGGGTGCAAAAGATGGAAGGGAATGGGTTGAGGATCAGTCGGACAAAGACTCAGGTTATGGTGGCAAATTTCAGTGGAAATAATTCAGGAGTTGGATTGCAAATTGGAAGTGACCAGTTAATGAAGACGAACAAGTTTTAGCACCTGGATGCAACGATGTGGTGCTGATGGATGAGAACAAGAACAAGGGATGGATGGCTGAAATGGCGAGAGATGACTGGTGTAGTATGCAATAAGAGGGGGGGGGGGGTCCCAGTTTGGTTGAAGGGAAAAGTGTACAAGACGGTGGTGAGGCCAGTGCTTTTGTATGGGGCCGAGTGCCGGGGCACAAGAAAGAGGGAGGACCAAGCTATGGCAGTCACAGAGATGAGGATGTTGCGATGGAAGGGCCTCCCGCAAGAGATAGCTCTGTAAAGAGCCCTCTCTCTAGTGGGTGTTTTGGCCTACTCTTCCACACTGGCCACACATCTTGGAAGAGGTGCACATACCCACACTTTAGGCCACCCGCACGCGACCTACCGATGAACTTAATTGCGATGAACTCAATTTTACTCGTGGGTGGACAGAGGTGGGAGAGATCAAATAAACTTGCCCATTGTTTCAACTGCAGCGCCGGGAGATTGAACTGACGACCTCTTGATTGCGAGTCCAGTACGCTGACAGTTACACCGTAGCGGCATCCCAAGTCTATAATAAAAACAAATTGCAGCCCTTTGTCAATCCACTACTGGATGAGGGGTTCGCCCTCACCATGTCTATCGTGGGGGTTGTACGACCACACTTTATCACACTGGTCAGTGTCATTGGTCACAGCTCAGTGTGGGTTGGTGCAGAGGAGAGCAGAACCAGCCGAGACGCAACTCGCCACTGATGTTAGCCGCGGCTGGGATCATAGCGCATTGCTAACCACCGCCACTGTTCCATCCCATCTGAGGTCTACGCGGCCTTAAATTATTATCTGGTGCGGCGTATAAATATCTGCACCAAATAGGTTCTCGTTAACGGCACTTTCCTCAGCAATCCCTGCAAAGGGGAGCTTTGTGCTGTCCACACCACCTACTCATTCACCACGCCAGCCTTAGTACGCGCTCATTAACGGCGCTTGTGGCCAAGAGCCCGTGACCGTCTGTGCGACTTATACGGGGAGGTCTTTGTCCGCTTGTGCCCGCTCGCAGGTGGCTAACGGGCGGCACGTGGATACGTTCGCCAACCCCACGTTCAGCTCGCTGCTGGACGTGCTGCTGTCGTCGCTGGTGTTCGTGCTGGCCTCGCTCGCCTGCCTCCTTGTGCTGCCCCCGTGGCCCGAGGTGCCCCTGCTGCCCATGGTCACCTTCGCCGTTGCCTTCACCCTGCAACTGTTCTGCCTGCTCGTCTCCATACGGTCAGCATCGCCATGCTGGTCGCATATCGCTATAAAACTACTAAACTATAAACTGTTTAACACATAGGCTTTCGTGACCAATATCCCATGATACAGGTTTTTTTTTGTTCTACGATCTAACCCAAGAAAACTGTATTTTAAATTAAGACTATTTTTTATTTGACCAGGTAAGGCCCACTGAGCTGTACTGTACGCAGCTCTTTTTCACAAGTGACCTGGCCACAAATGATAGCTCAACGAAGCGGCTTTTTCGCGGGGAAATTTACAGCAGCCAAATACCCTGAACGCGTGACGTTGACTCTAAAGGTGGAGGGAAAAACCAGAGGACTTTGAGAAAAATCCACCCGACCATAGGGCGAAAATGCAAACTAAAAATATACAGGCATCAAGGTCGAACCCACAACCTCCTGTATACCAAGTGAGATAGTTAACATCTCACCACCACAGCTTCCTAGTGTGCGCTGCGTGCCGTCGGCTGCTTTAGGACACACAAACGTTGAGGATCTTCAATTCCTGCGTCCATTCATCTTCTAAGGCTCTGTGGTGTTGTGATTCACCTTGTTACGAAATTTTCTTTTGGCTTGATTTAGCATTGTTTATTTGAGAACAAAAAATCGTGCGGAAAATCAGTAAGACGGGAAATAAAACCATACCTCCATTAAAAAACATCCCACTTACAATCAGGACAAGCCCGTTTGTCAATCCACTGCTGGATTAAGGCCATGCCGGTCTTGGGGGTTACTTGACGGTACATCACCACTTTGGTCAATGCAGGCTAGTGAAGGCGGGGAGCATCAAAGCACAGTACAACACTGGATTTTTATTCCCACAATATAGCCTCGCAGCCGCCTGCCCACAACATAGCCTCGCAGCCGCCTATGACGTTTGTGTGTATGTATGTTGAACATCTTTGGCACCATACGTAGCTAACCATGCTATTTGGAGGTGCTGACGAAGGACAAGAAAATAAACACTTCCTGCCCATATAAGCACTCAAAAGGCTCAACCCCTGCTTAGCTTTTGAGATCAGATGGTGTCAGGTGCATTTCATGCGATTTCATCACAGGTTTATCCATTTAGGGTGTGGTAAAAATGAAAGGCACCACGGTGGCGAGATGTTAACTACCTCGCCTTGTATGAAGGAGGTTGTGGGTTCGATCCCAACCCTGATGCTTGTATATTTGCTGTCTGCATGTTCTCCCCGTGGTCGTGTAGATTTTCTCTGGGTCGTCCGGGTTTTCCCTCCACATTTAGAAACATGTATTTAGAGTATTTGGCTGCAATAAATTTCCACATGATAAGCAACTTGTGGTTAGGTCGCCTCTGAAAAAGAGATATATGGCTCAGTGGGCCTCATCTGATAAAACAAAAATAGTTCAGTTTAGGATTGTAGTGGCACGGAATCAAACCGATGTTTGGAGATTGGCGGCAGTGGAGATGAGAGTACTCGTGCTTTTTCGAGAATAAAATAAATATTTTACATCAAACTTGATGTTGAGAAAAAAGCAGGATGGTGAACTCAGGATTAGGAACTGGTTAAAGACTACAAGACAGAGGTTGTTGGGCCCATTATTTGAGAACAGCAGATGAAAAGGCTGCCAAAAAGAGTACAAAGCAAGCGGAACAAGACCTAGAGAAAGACTGCCAATAAGATGGAAGGGTCGGGTTAATTAAGACCTGTAGAGAAGAGGAATCACTCCGGCAATGGTGCAGAGTTTGACGCTTCACGATAAGAGAGAGAAAACGAGAAGGTAAAATGTATTTTCATTGGTACAAGTCGATTAATTTCTCCTGCTTCTGTTAAAAAAAAAACAAATATTACCATTGTTGTTAAGAGGCTTTGTAAAGTTACAGGAGCACAGAGCCACGTCGTATCTTACACCTCGGCTCTGAGAGTCCTAATCTTAGGCCGCAGGGTGGGAGTGTGATTGCGCACGATGGGAGGAGGTTGGCCCTACCCCGTGTTGCTGATCCATTGCCGCTGCTGCCGCTGCCGCTGCTACAGGATGGTGTTCTTCCTGGAACACGTCCTCACGTGCACGCGGCTGGTCATGGAGTTTGTGTCTGGCTGGATCCCGCGCCACCTGATAGGGGCGCTGTACGTGTCTCTGCCGGCCGTCATGGTACTCACGCACTTCACCTGCCACCTGGACTCACGGCACACGGTGCGTATGCGCTGGGCACGCACTGGGCAAGCACTGTGGGCGCACACCGGGCAGGATTTGAACTTGCAAGCTTCCAATTGCGAGCCGCTCGCTCTACCTCTGAGCGACTAGGCCGGTCCAACTAAAATAATATGGTGAAATTATATGTACAGATAACAACATCTAAATTCAGAGCCCCTACTGTCGCTTTCACAATTTTCACTCTCCTGTTGAGAAGAAAGTAAGTGGATCTTTAAAAGTCAGTCACATGTCTATAAATAGATCACTGTTTTAATGAAACAAATAAGCAGACATTATGCCTCCTTTCCAAATCTGTATCCACATTTTTTTTTTCAAAGTATGTGTTTTCACATCACAATGGCCACATGGGAGTGTTTTGTCAGCATAATGATATGTATGTTGAACTTATTTCACGCAGAACATAGCCAACTGTAATTGGTTGCATACAAGCAAACTCTGGAGCAGTTTCGACCTTCAGTTTCTCATTAGCAGTCAGCCTCGCTTGAACCAATGCCCGGTGAGCGAACTGCCAGATGTTTGTCGGCAAGGGTCCTTCCCTCTTGGAATCCACGTATTCATTTTGCTCTACAGCCTTGTTAATTCGCGCTGCAGTAGCGGGAGTCTGCCACCAGGGGTAGCTCGGTGGGCTTCCGCGTCTCGCTTGAGAGTGGGGAATCCAAAATTCGGCCCACAGGCCCCAAGCGTCACATCCGGGTTTCCGTGTTTACAATTTTTTTTTACTTCTAAACTATCATTATTTTAGCAGGTAAGGCCAGCTGAGCTATATAGACATTTTTCGGAAGCGACCTGGCCATAAATGATAGCCCAATGAAGTGGCTTGTCATGTGGAAATGGTATTGCAGCCAAATACTCTAAACGCATGATTCTAAATGTGGATGGAAAAACGGGAGCACCCGAATAAAAATCCATGTGACCACGTGGAGAGAGACATGCAAACTCCAAATTTACAGCGGGTCAGGGTAGGGATCGAACCCACAACCTCCTCCATACCAGGCGAGGTAGTTAACATCTCGCCACAACTGCAAGATATTTTCTAATTGTCAATTGCATGTGCCCTGCCATCGTATGCATTTGATGGAGAATATTGGCGGATTGATGAGAATCAGACTGTGGTACATCCCTTTAGTAAGAAGTAGGTGGGGGGGGGGAGTAAATGGTAAACTTGAAAACACAGGCACATTATTTTATGGTTATGGGTGTTTGCCGTACTGGCGAACTTGTAAAAAAAAATCCACGCTGCTGTGATATATTGCAGTCACGTTGATTGACAAATGTCTCAGCGGTAGAGTGAGCAGCTCGCAATATGAAGGTTGCAAGTACGAATCCTGATTGGGCGGTTGAATCAGGCCACCATCCCAGCAGGGTTAATAAACCAAGTGCGACTTTGTGGGAAAGCCATTACACGGGGCCACTGCCCTATGTACAGACTCACCCCTGTCACAGCAGCGTGGAATTTCTACCTCCGGCTCAGGGATGTTAATAGGACATGAGCACAGCTTTAAATGCTGATTTGGAGAAAGAAAGAATTTTGACTTCAGAAAAAACGTAGAAGGGGTTGCGCTGAGAGTGCTCAGCGCATGCTGTAGCACTTCCCCCCCCACTCGCTCAGAGAACAGCTTCACCTGGGTCTGAGCGCGCGCAGTGGAGAGGCATTGCCGCTGCGCCGCAATGATGCCCAGGCACTGCAGGACCTGCTCTGGTTGCTAGGGCTCCAGGTTTACAGTGGTTTTTTTTTTCTTTCTGATAGGTGTAGTGCGCGGGTTCGGGGCAGGTCACAACTCACTTTTATGATTTCATTACATGGGGCCATTGATTTTGAAGTTAAGTTTTATTCTACATTACCAGCGTATTGGCTTTTACCATTAATTGATATTTACTGTCTGATTTTGTTCCTTGGGCATTGCTGTTTTTTTTTTAAATAGCTCTTTTTTTAAATTCCGTGATAACCGTCGAATATTGCGTGTACGCATTTAAAATTCCGTGGCAATGTTCGATGTATATGGTCGAATCCGTCAAGATTACAACATTTCATTATTTAGCAGATTGCGCCTGTGTGTTACTTCCCCCCATGCCAAACCTGTGGTGGAACCCTTCGACCCTCATGGCCATGAGACAAGATGCATCACATTAAAGCTGGCAATAATGGTTTCCATCTCAGCATGCACAAAGCCATTGTGCGTCCAACATGGATATGCATCTTTCAACTTCTGCCCTACCGTAACGAGACGAGCCTTCCGTAATTTAGCAGAATAAGTCCATGGTAAGGTACCTGCCCGAGGAAGACCAAGCCTAGAATAAGCCCTGCAAGTGGCCCGAGCTTAAAGTGAGTGGGCTCGGCCCGATGGGGGTGGGGGGGGTACGCACGGCGTTTAAGAGACGGGCGACCTGGGTGGGTGAGCAGCTGCTGATGAGCGTTTCGGGGGGGGGTTGTGAGGGAACTGACGTGCGCGCCCCGTGCGTCTCCCCCGCCCCTCTCCGGCCCTCCCCCTCGGCAGGCTCGCCTGTTCTTCTGCTGCGTCATGATCGTGGGCGTCACCCACTACCTCAATTTCTGCCAGCTGAGCTCGTGGCTGCGCTCCAGCCTGGCGACTGTGGTGGCCGCGCTGCTGCTGCTGCTCATCTACGTGCCCGTGTGCGGCGACAGGCCCTGGGGCGCCGGGTGAGCACGGCGTGCGGGCAGGCCGGTCGGCCAACGTGAACCGTGGCACGCGCACAGTTGTTGGCTGTCTTGTCACGTGGGATTTCATTTCGGAAGATAGGACAACGCGTTAGGGGCAATTATTGACATGCCTACAGGCAGAGGTAGCAAAAGAGACTATTCGTTATTATCGCACAGAATAGGGAGAGAATAAAGTCTTAATTCTGGGTTAAAACAAAGGGAGTACGAATACTGGAAGCAGCAGGGAGTAAGACTGCAGCTCACTGGAGTGGCAGAAGAGGAGAGGCCTCCCGTTGTGCCGAGAACGATCGGGGTTGACCTCCGATCTAGTCAGTTTGCACTGGCTCGAGCGGAAAGTCTCACGGTTTTGTGCTTTGCCCCGTTATTCTTTCCATCGCAGCAATGAGTCCCTGCCGCTGAACGTGAGCGCGCCGGTGGTGTCCGTGCCTCTTGCGGCGCTGTCGGCCGCCCAGGGAGGGCACGGCGGGAACAGTGGGAGTGTGCGGGGCTGGGAGCTGGCGGCCGACCTCCTGCTGCTGGTGCTGCTCATCTGGTTCCTGAACCGCGAGTTCGAGGTGGCCTACCGCCTCAACTACCACGGCAACGTCGAGGCGGAGTTGCACCAGCGCAAGATCCAGCACATGAAGAACCAGGCCGACCTGCTGCTGCACAACATCATCCCCGGGCACGTGGCCGACCAGCTGAAGGTGCAGCCGCACTACTCCAAGAACCACGAGGACGTGGGCGTCATCTTTGCGAGCATCGTCAACTTCAGCGAGTTCTACGAGGAGAACTACGAGGGCGGCAAGGAGTGCTACCGCGTGCTGCACGAGCTCATGTCCGACCTGGACCAGCTGCTGGCGCGCGACCACTACGGGGGCATCGAGAAGATCAAGACCATCGGCGCGACCTACATGGCGGCGTCGGGGCTCAACGTGCCAGAGCCGCGCGCGGGTGACGCGCACGCGCACCTGCGCACGCTCTTCGAGTTTGCGCGCGACATGATGAGCATTGTCGAGGACTTCAACAAGGACATGCTGTGGTTCAACTTCCGCCTGCGGATCGGGTTCAACCACGGGCCGCTCACGGCCGGCGTCATCGGCACGACCAAGCCGCTCTACGACATCTGGGGCGATACGGTGAACATCGCCAGCCGCATGGACTCGACGGGCGTCGACTGCCGCGTGCAGGTGCCACCCACCCCTCCAACCTTGTGTTGCTCGCTCACTCGCTGCAGCTACTACAGCAGCAGCAGCATCATGTGATTGTGGTCGTTTCCGACACGAGGAATCCTGCAATTCTACACTGACCACTGCGTTCCCGATTTTGCATTTATTAACGGCCGGTGGTGTGAACAGCACTAATATATGATAGTGAATGTATGGGCAAGCATAGGGAGGCGGTGCGAAAGAGATGTTTGTTTTTTAATGTTTGAATGCACAGAAGTAAGTGTGCGGTACGAGGTGAAATGCGAGTCTGGCGAACCCCTCGACGCTGTGGGTGACGATCTCTCCACATCCATACATCGCCCCGTCAGACGTGTCTACAATAAACCCCACGTGCTTCCTGACCGCGTGGCACTGTCTCTCTGTTGGACCCTTCGCAATGTGCCCTCGTGCATTCTCCCGACCTCTTCAACGTCGCGTGCCCCCACTCCCACCCCCACCCCCACCCCCCGCAGGTGAGCCAGGAAAGCTACCACGTGCTGTGCGACATGGGCTACCAGTTCGACTACCGAGGCACGGTCAACGTGAAGGGCAAGGGCCAGATGAAGACGTACCTGTTCCCGCCCACGGACGGGGGCCACGCCGCGCCACAGCCTCCGCCGCCGCCGCTGCTGCCGCCGCTGCTGCCCATGACGCCCGACATCCACACACAGGTGGACGGCAGCATCGGGCGCTCGCCCGCAGAGGAGGAGGCCCACAGCCTCCTGGCATCGCTGTCGGCGTCCGACGCGTGCATCATCACCTTCTCCGAGTCTCCGCCGCGCGGCGGCGGAGGGGGCGGCGACTCCCCCCGTCGCGCGCTCGCGGGCGTGCGCGGCCAGCGTGCCTCGTCGCTGTCGAGCTTGCCGCACGGCGCGGGCCCCCGCGGACGCCGCCGTGGCTACGCGAGGCCGCCCGTCTCCACTGCCGCCGCCGCCCTCGCGTTCTCCGCGCCGCCTCCTCCCGCCCAAAACGGCGTGGGACCCGACGCGCGCCCCGCCGAGAAGGGGCTGCGGACTCGCAGTCGCACGAGGGAGGATGGCGACGGGGAAGGCGGCGGCGGAGGAGACACCAGGAGCGATTTGGACGATGGGGGTGGCGCAGTGAAGGACAGCAGCAGAGCGAGCAGCGGAGTGGACAGCGACGAGGGCAGCGAGGAGGAGGAGGAGGAGGAGCCTTCTCCTCCTGGACCGTGTGGTGGCAGAGAGGGCGGGGGCCTCGTACCGGAGTGTCGGCCCAACGGGGTGGAGTGCCGCTTCCCCGCAGAGGCTGAGCGCGCTGGCATGTGCGTGCAGGACTCCGTATGAGGCCCGGCCTGGCACAGGCGGTGGTGGTGGTGGTGGCTGTCTCCTGAGGTACACAGGACGAATCTTCAGTCAGGGGTCTCCAGCCAAGACTTTCAACTGCTTAAGTGCCTTGCTGAAGGGAAGCCTGTGTTTGCTTAATGTTGTTGTTTTCTCGAATGGCTGTGTTCTAACGGCAGGGCAGGCGATTAAAACCCGAATTTCACAATTGTGGTCGTGGGATCTTGGAAAAAACAAGGTGGTGACTTCGTTAAGGGGCATCAGCAGCTGACTGGAAATGGTCTCTTTAATAATTATTATAATTATGTAGCTGAAAATATACAAATACGATTGTTTACACAGTTCATGTGTAAATTGTATCTTAAGGAGTATTCACCAGGTACAGAAAGTCCTACTCAAGCTTAGGGTGGAACAAGACCCCGTCAAAACTCAACTTTTAAAATGACAAAACCTACCAGTGCTAAACATTAATGGAGTTTTCTAGCTTCACCACTACCAACGTAAAATACCGTTCCCTTCAAATAAAAAATCCCTTACCTGATTAGTGCCTATGATAGTTACCATTTGTTTTGCTAAAAAAAACCCAGGGTCACCATAGCTACGAAGGGAGCGTTCCTGTGACAAATAAGTTAAGTTATGGGTACATTTCGAATAGAAAATTTGAACTTTGTCACCGGCAGAAAATTGCCCAGACTTTCGAACGACATCGCGGGGTTCTTAACTGTTCCCACCCTTACGTTGTGCAGCAGAGCTTTTCGTAATTTCCCTGACAGGAGTCTCGTGGCATCACCTCCTTGGCCCGACGGGGGGAGACGCTTGCGCCGCCCGCCGTCGCCGGCAGGCCGCCCAGCTGCCCCATGAATTAAAACTCGAGGCGCGAGCGCTGCATAAGTAGCGTGACGCGTGTGCTGGCCCCGATAGCACTGAGGGGCAGGTGCAGCTCGGTCCTTAATGTTGCCGGTGCCCCGTCTGTGTTAATGCGGAGACGTACGCACACACACACACACACACGCGTGTGTGCACACGCACCAAAGCCGGTGTGCGGAATGCAGCTTTAAAAGAGAAGGGCATTTGCGTAAAAAAATATATGCATTTTGCGGTCTTTCTTTTTAGCCCGTGGAAGTGAACTGTACATAGTTTACCCATCGCCGCCTTTTGTGTACGGGATGCAGTGCAGTATAAAGGAGCTGTCCGTGGGTGTTTGTGTGTGTGTGTACATGTGTTCATAGATGTGTTTGTATTGCGCTGCATACATACACGCATACATACACGAATGTATGTATGCGTGTACGTATGGCGTACTCGTCTTCGCACACATCTGCGTGTGTGTGCGCGCGTTCATCGCGTCTGTACATACCTACGTGTGTTACGTGTATATGTGTGTACATGTATTTGCGAATATGTATCGGTGTAAGTGCGCACGTCACTGTGTACTTGTACGCGCGCATCTTCGTACTCCTATTGAAGCCTAAACAATTGTGCAAGCCTTTCCCCTAATGAAAACGGCAAATAGTGCAAATGTGAGCGGTAGGGCCCGGCTGCAGCCGCTGAGCAAACGACCAGAGCCAGAGACGCTCCCGTGGGATTCCGGCTCAGTAACCGATGTCTGTAACCGGGTGTCAGAATTCACACTTCCGAAGCAATTGTTCTTTTTTTTGTGCGCGTGCGAAAACAAAGGCTCGCAGTGGCTTTTTGTTCCCCCCCCCCTCCGTGTGCGTCTTAGTGCTAAGCCTCAGCGAGACGAAACGCTTGGACAGGCACGGTACTGCTGCTGGGACGCAGTGGTGGACCTTGACATGCGCAGAATTACAGACAGCGGCCACAGTATAATTGAGGAGGCGTCGTCTGCAAAGGTTCTGCGATCGCCAAACACAAGACTTTATGCAACTTTACGAACCAGGAACTGTTGGTTTTGAACTCTTTTAGCAGAATGCTGCACACATCGGCCAAAAAAAAAAACCAGTTTGCAGAGCGCGACACGAGCACTTGTACAACCGAAACCGGGCACTCGTGTGGATTTGTGGATTTTTTTTTCCTCCTACAGTCGGGACGCTTTGCTTTACTGCTCAGAGCGTTAACATGAGAGCAGGTGGGCACCGAGTGGAGAGGCCTCGACTCCCGTATAATTGGTCAGGGTCTGGGCCCCCTCCCCATGCAGTCTTCATCTTGGAAATGAAATTATCGATGGAAACATTTGTCAACGAGGCGTATTTTATTTGGGTGAACCGATGACTACGAGTGGACAAAAATCATCAAGCACGACTACGGTGACTACGATTACACCCACCAAAGACCATCGCTCGAGACGAAATGAACGAGTCTGAATGAAGGCGCAGACTCAGATAATTTAGTAACATTATGAGAGACTGCAGTGCAGAAGGAAGACCAAAAATGGTAATTGGCTATGTGTGTAAATTGAATGATTGGGCGATCTCATAGTATTGGGTGGAACGAATTGGACGGCCTTCACGCCAACATTAAACCATGAGCCGACTAGACCAAGAGAATTGTTCAATGAAATCCACCGACTTAAACCTGAATAAAACTCCACAGGTTGCCATCGGCTAGACACGGACCACGACCAAAAATAAAACGCTCTTACAAAATGAACACTGCTCCTGTGCCCACGTCACACCACACCGCGCGCCCCCCAACACCTCGCGGATCGATTAGTTGGTGCGTGTCACGCAAGGGCGCAAGGCGGGACTGGTTTGTGGGCAAATCCTGGGCCATGGCGTGAAACCAATGTCTTAAATCTCCCGGTTCCTGCATTTTCACTCCAGAGGCACCATACTGGATGTTTGATTTTTTTTTTTTCAAATTGCCTCATCCGGCCGCTTGAATTAGAAAAATGTATTCCCGTAAATAAGTGAATTTGTCCTATCCTTGTACATTTTTTGCGATTGACTGAATTGTTAAGTTAGGGTTTTTTTTTTTCCACTTGCTTTTTTGTTTAAGAAAAAAGTGTGTTGCATTGTATTTAATTTTCTAATTTGGCATTTCATTGGAAGCAACCTTTACTCACGTGCCATGGTCCACGTCCAGAACGCAAGGCAATCCTTTTCAGCAGAGGCGTTTCATTCAGGGGGCGTCGTACGCATCATTGCAAGTAATAAAGCACGATTAAACGTGGAGGATACAGTCCAGATCAGAGAGGGCTTCTTTCATTGTGTATGACTTTTGGGGACTCTAAAACTTTCGATGGTGACACGGCCAGACAGGCCACTTGCCCACAAACCTCTGCTTTGAGCAACCGCCCCCCCCCCCCCCCAAGTTACATTTTTGCTCTTAAAGTTGTGCAGCAGCCAAGCAAGTGTTTGCCATATCCAACAAAATTATTATTTGGAAAAGGAGTTCCCGTTGATGTCAGCTGCTCCTGTTGAGCGAGTGTGGGGTAGTGGTGCACTCACGTTATCCCCCTCGTCGTTTCCGGTGAGTGTGGAGAGCCGGATCTGAACGGTGAGCTGCAATGTGTTTCTTTGGGGTCTCGCGCGCCAGCCGGGTTCGGGATGCAACTGCACTCACGGAAACTCCAGCCCCCTCCCCCCCCAGCGTGGCGTTAATCTGTGTGGCATGTGACCACGCACGGCAGGTCTTTGGCTGCATCATCATATGCGATTGCACATCCACCGTTCACAAGTTCTGACACTATTATGCAATTCTCTTAAATGTGTAATTTAGTATATAAAATGTAAAAAGTAAAAAAATATATCTCTTAATGCTTTAAGTAATATGAATTGATGATGAAGTATGTTAATTGTCACAATTGCACCTGCCCGGGGCTGTCATTTTGTGATGTAGCAATACACGACAGTTTTGGTTTGACACCTTGTAAATTTTGGGAGACGTTCATCCCAATCCATATGCAGGCAAGAACACGTGTGTTTTTTTATATAATTGGTTATTGCTGAAGATTATAAAGACACCAGGTGAATCCAGTATTGTATGTTGTGGCCAGGCTTACTGTGGACGTGAACTGATCGTTATGGTGTTATCCATGCCACCAATCTTCCCCCTGATATTCCCATCGGCTGCACAGAGAGCAGGGGTAGTAGCCTTGTGCACGGCACTGGGAGATGGCGTAAACCGCGTTCGGGGATGGTCGTCTCAACTAATTTTATATATGCCCTGCACATTTTCCCGAATTGAACTTTGCATTACAGCAGGGGGGGCCCCCTTAAGCTTTGTCCTGAACTGTTTTGGGATCGTGTTCTCTGCTGATGTTCTCATTTTTGCCCATTTTGCTACCGGTGTTGGCTACCCTGTGAAGTTTGGTTTCATCATCGGAATCTTCTATCAAGTGACTCGCCAGGCATGAAGCAGCTCCGGTTTTAGCGACACATCTGGGCTTCCTTCGCATTTTGAAAGGTGTTTTTTTCCCTTTCTTACCAATTGAAGTGCTTTGTAATGTCTAAGGGCAATGAGGGGGGGGGACCTTCTGGTGTGCAATTTAGGAGCTGCTTCTTTCCGGGATGTATTTTCTCTTGGTATGCACATTTATCGGTTTGGAATTAAACTTTTCTCCATAACTCACACACGTATCAGGATTGGCAAAAGGCTTAAAAGTACGTAACGTGTTTGAAACTTTAAAGGAAAAAATCACCATGTGCATTTGCAACATATAGCATTAATTTTAGTTTTGTACGCGACAAGGAGGCATGTAACGATGCATCAATTCCCCGATTAAAATCAAGTCGTACCCTTGCGATAAATACGTTGCATTGTGCGTGTGAGAATTATTTACAGTTTATGCAAATGATATGCTAGAATAACAACAAGATATGTTGATATTGTTTTGAAATCTTGACTTTAAGCTTTCGTGACTGCAGAAATTCATATTCTTTGGGTCTTTCGGTAAAGTCACCTAGATATGTTCAAAGAAAATAACAAAAAAACAAAAGCTGCGATGTTTAGATCGCAACACAAGCGGTCGTCTTGTGTTGCGAAACATATCTACGTGACTTTACCGAAAGACCTAAAGAATTTAAGGTTATGAAAGTGAGATGGCAATGATCAACCTCGAGCCATGACAATTCAATCATCTGGTGGCGGTGGAGGAGGCGGGGGGGGGATGACTCATTACATGCCTAGCAACAAGGAAGCGTTAGCAGTAACCTGCATTCATCTGCAGGTAGCATAAAAGTACTGAGTAGCCCTCCTGGGAAGGACCTTAGCTGGGTATCCTCCTTGTCCTTCCCTCGCACCTCCGATTAGCACAGTGTGACTACGTACGGTGTGAAATAAGTTCAACATACGTACGTATCACCGTGCAGAAGCAAGCAGGACTCGGCCTCGGCGAAATGCACAGCAGCTTCAGTCTTAGAAACCACAATGGCTATTTGATTTCATCACTGAACAATTGTTCAAAACAAGTCAATTACAGTCACGACGTGGTTTTGTTCTTTATCTATACCACCCAAAAAAATGGTTGCGGCTCAAAATAATCTTTACTTGAGTACGTGTCGTCACATTTGAACTGTATGTCATCTCAAGTCGCGGTGGCGAGATGTTAGCTCTCTTGCCTGGTATGCAGGACGTCATGGGTTAGATCCCCGACCCTGACGCCTGCTGTATATTTGGAGTTTAAATATTCTCCCCGTGGTCGCGTGGATTGTTCTCCAGGTGCTCCGGGCTTTTCCCTCCACATTTAGAAACAACGTGCATTTCGACGATTTGGCTGCTATACATTTCCACACGATGAGCCACTTCGTTGAGCTATCATTTGTGGCCAGGTCGCTTCCGAAAAATATCTGCATCGCTCTGTGGGCCTTATCTGTTAAAATGCAATTTGGAAGAGAAAAAAAAAGGTAGTTTAGTTTTAAGTCCTGAGCAGTTTATTGTGAGGCTGATACCGTGATACAACTTGGACCTGGAATTCTCGTGATGCACACAGGAAACGAACACGTTGCCGCACGGCTGGTGGTTTTCTTCTGCCGGGATGCGTGGAAACTTGCAGAACGCTCTGCCAATTGCAGGCCGATGTGACCACCCCCCCCCCCCCATTGTTGTTGGACTTTTGAGGGATCACTCCTCGTTCATGTCGACTGTGTCATCAAGACCAAACAAAATATACGCGTGCAGACTTCAGCGCAGTGGTTTCCGTCACGTCGAAGGCACACCAAGAGACCCTGGCACGTGGTGTGTTTGCAAAACAGGGTTAAAAGGAGATGGCTCTGCATGGCCGCTGGCTCGCTCGGATTGGTTCGCAGCATGAACGTGCGCGAGCAACGAATATACGAGGATGTCTACTGCGGTTTGCAGGGATTTTGCTGCTTGTTTCCTTAACCCAGTTGATATTGCAACTAAAATTGTCCCATTCGAAACAAAACCACCACTTCGTTACGCAGTTAAGGGGGCGCTCGGTGTGCAGTGTTTTCGGAACGATTCTTTGGGATATGGCTCTCTTTGCCTGTAAGCATGGCTTCATAGCTACACGGAGGTGCTCATCATTCGTTAGCTTAGGATCATGTATTAACTCCACACTTGTGAAATGTGTCGCCATACTTTTATGAGCGTATTGGATTTACTGCGCTGTACCGTCGAAAAAGGACAAATATCCACGCGGAATTCTCACCTTGGCACGGCCGTGTGCGCATCGTCAAGGCGGCATCGATGTCCGCACGTGCCGGGGAGAGCCGAAACTGAGCGACTTGCTGGCATATGGCCACTGCCACAGGACCCATATCCGTATCAACAGTGCCCCCGTGTTCACATTGCAGCGTAACTTTTGGTGCATGTATCAAGTTGGGCACAGCATTAACACACACACACACTCGTCTTGAGTGACTGATGTGGAAAGGTTAACCGTTGTGTTTCCAAAGGTGCGGAGGCTATGCATTGTTACACATGGCTTCGTAGTCCTATTTTTTCGTGGCAGACAATACACCGGATTAATCTAAACGCTTTAACCAAAAAAACTTTTCAAAGCGTAAAACCACCTTTTTTTTTTAGGCGCGGTTATAACATTGCGACGTTTTGATAGTTTAAACTTGGCTTTACACGAACCGTTTAGTTAAATTGGTCGCGCTAAACAGGTTTGTTTTCATCTTGTGTGCGAAAAGGGCTTAGCGACCTTTCCCAGGGTGGGTTATTATTGTTGTCTCGCTTACAGGATTTGGAGGATTGGTTCAGCGCTGCCGAGGAACTCTGTTGAGGAAGCCCGCCTCAATGGCCGGCCTTCTAAAGCAGCACCACAGCAAGGAATAATTGCGACGGGCAAAATAAATAAATAAATAAAACGCCCCTTTTGGGCTTTAACTCGAGCTGCTGGGAGTTGCTCTCATGCGTGCGATGACTTAAACACAAGAACATCGCTCGTTCGTGGCTGCCGAGTCCAGAACCCCCCTTCGTCCTAGCCATGTGCAGTTCTACGCGAGGTGGAGGCATGCGCGTTTTGTTTGCGCCAACTGCCCACGTTCTTGCGGGCAATCACCGCAGCCCCACACATGTCTGTACAGGGGACGGGCTAAAATTGCACTCCCTAAACGTGCAATGCGCGGCGTTCAGAGCGCGCAACACGATTTCCTTAAGCTCTTTTGGCCCCGCGGCTTGCCCGGCTGAGAGTGTTCGTCTTCATGGCTGTGCGCGGTTGGTGCCGAGGCATGCGCGCGACATTGCCGCATGCTGCCGTTGAGCAAAATCGGTCGTCCATCTGGAGGTGTTGTTTATGGGCATTCCCTGCCCTTCCCGGCTGATGGGTTCTCATTAGTTGGGCACGTTGTTTTAACTGGTGTACGACGTTGATTTTTGGAGTATGCCTTTTCTTTTCTGCCCCTTTCAAGAGTCGTCTATTACAACCGCTCCCATTAAAAAATACGCCCGTTTTTGGACTCTTAACGCGTATGAACAACGGTACGATCTCACTAGCATCGGAAATTCTCCACTTGCGAACAAGTGTAGATAAAGGAATGTGTTTTTTTTTTAAGTTTTCTTTGAAACATATTGCTCTCAAAGTGTATGGAGGCTTCGATGCTAACGTTTTGCCTCGCGATGCCCGTGTATTGTGCGGCGTCTTTGCATGTGTACGGGCGCGCGCGGCGACAGGGTCGCGTTGGGTGCATGAGCATCACCCGCGTGCATTGATGGAACACCCTATGGGTGGTGACACCCTCGTCCACATTCTGGTGCTGTAAAGACCAGGGCACTCGCTCAGGAGCAACTACTTGTGGCATGCAACATTTGGGTCATCCCCTGTTCAGTGTTATACAGAGCATCTGGCCATTGCAATGGTCAATTTGAAAAGCCTATTAACGAGCGATTGTGTTCCGTTTGTTGTATTGTTGTACGTCTTAGCCACGTAGCCTATAACCGTTTCAACTCGACGAGCGGGCAACCATTCCACTGTTCCAAGTCCATATCACATTTTGGGGGGGGAGGGGGACGGCGGGGGGGCATGAATTGTGCATTGTAGAATGAATTGGTTAAGCTCTCTTCCAGCTTAGAGAGCTGTTCGATATTGACCGGTCAGGTGTCGATCGCCATTGATCCACCCTATGCCCAGTCCACATAAAACTGCCGTTGCCCCGGGAGATTGTGGAATAGCCGACGAAGAAAGCATTTTGTAGAATCAGAAACAGCTTATGGAGCCTTGGTGACAGCGGCACAAGGTTTCCCACGTGTCCACAAACCTCCATGCCGTTGAGATGAAGTGACCCCTGCCTGGGCTTTGTAAAACACGCTTCAACATTTTGGCGTGCACATGGACACCCGTAATTTTGTTGTTACGGATAAACCATTGCCAGGGACGTTTTGTAAATTCCAGACTGGGTGTCTCCACGAGTAGCGTGCACGGATGCGTCCTGGTACATCCGAGATTACTCACCAGGTGTCACACACCAAAAACACAAAATCTGCCATGAAATATCCTGGGCTGGCCGTAGATGTGGAGACCGTTTACTCTGACCTGGCTCCGTCCTTCCTCCCCATAATAGCTTAGCTT